TGAATGTCATGCTGAGAAGTTTGGACTTGATAATATTAGCAATAGGGAACCACACAGATTTATTTTCATTAAAACAACAACAACAACAGTACTGCCAGCAGTATGAAAGATGTGTAAGGGCAGGAAGGGAGAGGAAAGAGGAAGATCCATTAGGAGCCTTCTGCAACAGTCCAGGTAAGTGAAACTGGAGAGAAGGCTTAAAATGACAAGAAAAATCAAAAAGCAAACAGAAGTCAGCTGTGGGAGGTAAAGAAGATGAAAAGGGAAAAATTAAAAATGGTTAACTAAAACAGTATGTGAAACTATTTGCTTATGGATTAGCTATAGAGAAAAAAAGTTTGAAGATGGGGAGATTATTCTTTTAATATTTGAAAGTCTGGGCATTAAAGTGCCTGTGGTAGAATGAAGTAGAGATGCCTGGTATGTCCCCAGGCATATGAATTTGAATTTAAGAAGAAAGGTCAGAGCCATAAAGACTTCGGAATAACCAAGGACAGAGCTGGTAATTGAAGTCATCAGCATAAAGAAGACTGACCAGAGAGTCCTTCTGATGCAAAAGACAAGGTGACAGAGAATAAAATCTTGGGTCACACCAATATTTATGTAGCAAATTGTGAAAGGGAAACAAAACAAGGAAGTGAGAAAAATGAGAGAAAATAGAAGTAAAAAGAATACCTTTGCAAATACCAAAGAAGGGTCTCTATTAGTTCCTTGACTGACAGCAATGTCAATGAACTGGTGGATTCAGATGCAGATTGATTTGGGAAGAGAATGTGAGCAGAAAAAGCGACAGTGATTCACTTTCGATAATTTGGTACAATGATAAGGCACAGAGAATAAGGCAACAATTGACAGTGTGGAAAGAGGGCAAGAATTTTTTTTGTGTCTTCTTGGATTTTCTGTTTTCTTTTTTAAATATGGGATAAAACTTGATCAWGGTTGCAAGCTCAGGGTAAGTTGTCACTGGAGAGGACAAGATCTGGGATACAAAATCGAAGAATTAAGCTCATTGAGCAGGTTTCCAACATGGTGGAAATCAAAGAGTGGTAGACAGGCTGTCCTTCTCTTGGAAAGGTGAATAGGTATTCTTCTGAAACTAGGTAAAGGAGGAGAATGAGATGAAGGTTGTCTAAGATATTATGGATCAGTTTAGTAAATGGTGGGTGGGTAGATGCGGGAGTCCGAACCACTTACCACTATTTTCTGCAGTTGAGTAGGAAGTTAATTATCTGCTGGGAATGAATGTTCAGGAATGGGGTGAGAAGTCCCAGCTGCTGCTAAGTTAAATGAAGCAAAGCCCTTGAGTAAAGATATGTGCCATAAATGAATCCTATAAATTTTGTCCTCAGAACTAGCCCCTGGCATGAAGAACTGGAATCTCAGACTGAATCAGGATAAGTACAGGAGGGATCTAGTCAGATCTCTCCTCAGTGGAAATTTAAAATAAGTCTGGGGTATAGTGAGGTGTTCACAGTTTTTTAGTTCTGACTCAAAGCAATCCCCCTCCCCCACACTGAATTTAAAAGTGTCCTTTAAAGAGTAGAGTGGTCAATCCAGAAATACAGGAACCAGAGCAATTTATAGTCAGCAGCATCCAGAATTGTGTCCTTATGAAGAACTTCAAGTACATTAAGTTACCAATGAGGGATTAAAAATATATATATATCTGCTCTCTATAAATTACATTGTAAGTTATTAAGAAGAGTACAGTCTGAAATTCATGCATATGCCCAAGAGGGCCTTGCAAAGTGCTTAGAGTATAATGTGTGCTTATACTTGCTTAAAATGAAACAGTTTTGCCAGACCATACACTTGCCAAACCCCTTGCTTTGCCTTTTAACCTGTGTGACATGTATTTTAAAATGCATATTAATTATCCTGTTCTGCATCTGAAACCTTGGGTTGACCAGATTCCGAATCTTATGCAACAGTTCCATGGATTAGGAGTAAACTATTCAGAGGAGGGAGAAGCTTCTAATTCCTGTTTGGACTCCACATAATCACAAAGAAGGAAAATCCAGGTTCTATAGTCTTAGTCTAAGATATTAGAATCAGATTTCCTGGGTGCTCTGTATTTTTTTCTCTCATATTACCATGAGTTTAGCAAAACTGAACCTATGATATTCTTTTTCTTTTACCATAGAATAAATATCTATGCTAGTATATAAAGCGAAAGTAATTTTATGATAACCCAACTGTGCATTATATTAGGCTAAAACATAAAATATATAGAAATTTTTTATCACGTATAAAAAGTTATGACAGCCAAAACCTAAAAGAAAAAGACAGATAAAATGGTTGCCTGAAAATTATGTCACAAAAAGAATATTACTATATTAAAAACAATATCTGTGCTAGCTATAGCTGAATGCACATTAAGGTATCCAAACTTAGTTTTGATAAAATAAAGCATTATTTTGGATTTAGAATAGTTATCAGTGGGGAGCAGGTAGGATACCTACTTTTCATCTTTCAAACCTGGCCTTTCAAATCTCCATTAACACCTCAGTGGCAAGGACGAGACATCTGCCAAAACACATGTGACAGCATGAACAAGTGTTCTAACGCTAGGCATCTAGTGAAATGCTTTAACACACTGCCTCTAGACTGCTGGGATGGCCCCATAAATAAGGATGTTTGCTTCCTTAAAACAGCAACCATGTTTAAAAATCATATGTTCTTCAGGAAAAAAAGAAAGTATTTTAACTTAAACAAGCCAAATGACTACTAGACTTGGACAAAAAAATGGATTTAAAAAATGTAATCATGTGTATCCTTTATGTATTTTATATATATATATATATATATATATATATATATATATGCTTTGAACAAAGAAAAATCATTCAGCCATTAAAAACACAGTTCATATACATCACTGCCATTATTTAGTTAAGGTTGTATTCACTAGTAAGTGAATATCACTGAAGCTGTTGATGCACTTTTAAACAAAGTATAATTGGACATATGGGGGAGACATACCAATTCATTCTCTATCTTGTAAACCATTACAGTGAGTTGCATTCTGCCTTTAATTGGCTGAAATAGGTATCTGAGAAAACTTCCTTTACCACAAAGGTCACTGAAACGGTAGAGGTTACCAAGAAGTAGCTACTGATTACAAGTGCTTTATAAATGAAACTGAAAGCAAAAATCAAGCTTCAGTACAAATGAATGTATAAAGCTATGTTTTTTCTTTACTCTAGATTCTAAATTCAGTCTTCCAAATCCCTTGAATTATAACTACTTGTGTTTTGAGAGTGTTAACACAATACACATTCTCTTGAAGCTACTTAAGAAACACATAAAAATCCATTCTATCTTATGACAAACACTATCACTTCCTGTTTTATATTCAGCACTTAAATTCAAATGCATAATGCCTGTACTTGTTTTTCTTTTCCAGGTTAATATTAACAAGTACAATAAAATACTACAAATTCTGAATTCTTCAGGGATTTGATTGCATTAAAATTGTATGAAAACGAATGTTAATTAAATGGGATCTTAACTATAACTAAGGAAGGCCTATTCCCCAAAGTACAATTTCAACAGTCCTTTTTCTTTACATGAAAATAGGACCCCTGCTTTAAAAAAATACATGGTTTACACTTTTTACTCTCAAATAAGCTTTGATAACAATGGTATGAATTAGTGATATTTTATTATGAATTTATATCTGGTTCAATATGAAGGCTCTCTGATTACACAACAGGTATTTGAAAGCAGCATCATTTTAGCTATAATGATAGTAATGACAACAAGCATACTAAAGATGATGACAGGAAACACCTAACACTAACCGTTTAGATAATAGAGATCTTGATTATTAATAGCTGCAACATCCAGGATGCTTGGGAGGGAATTAAGGGCATCTTTCAAATAACTACAAGACACAAGCCTTTTTGAATGACACACTGAGACTAATAAACAGTTTTAAATCGAACTAATTTAACATTTTAGGATAAATGTAACAATTGCTGTTAGTCCAACTCAAACTCAATTCTGAATCTTACAAAAGTTCACAAAGGGTACAAATATGAAGTATGACAGGCATTGTAGATCATCGAAATTCCTATTCCTTCCTCGGTTTTCACAGAGGAAGCACATATTTCTAAAAAGAGAATTAAGTGCAAAAACTGTGTGTGTGTGTGTGTGTGTGTGTGTGTGTGTGCGCGTGTGCGTGCGGGGGGGGGCACTCCTTTGACGTCAAAAGATACCAAATCCCACTCTGCTGCACATGTGTTTTGACTCGAGGTTACTGTATTCATATTTCAGACGAAATCTGGTTAACTTTTTAAAGGGTTCCCCCAGTAAAGTGGGAAAACTTCAACCCACAATTCGGAATGTATTAAAATGTGGGGGTTACGAGAAAAGAGTTTCAAGGAAGCTTATTTTTGGATTAAAAACAACAACAAAAAAGCGGTCACAAGATTCTTCTGATAAATGCTGGGTCGGGAATGAAACTTAACTGCGTCCTTTTCATCTYCATTCGCTCTGATGCTCATGCAGTAGGGCAAAACCCCTTCTGGTCGACTTCACCAAAATGCGCACTTCCATCACAAGAGGCCTGGGCCCTCCCACTCTCCCTCCTTAAACCCCAAACGCAAGTAGAAGGGAGAGGGTGCGAAAGAAGAGGGTCCTTGGCAGCTGCCACCCCTCGCCTCTGATCGCGCCCTTTCTTTATAGTTCGCGATTGCACGAGTTGTGCGTTTTCCAGTCTTCCTCTGTATGTGCATTTGGAGGTGCAAACGGGGTGAAGGAGATGAGCCCGCTGTCACCCGGGGGAAGAGAAAGAAAGGAGGAAAGGAAGGGGGCGCCCGATTACCCGCAGGGCCCTCCCACGTCCGCACTCCGGGCGCACAGGGCCCGAGCATCCCGCGCCCAGGCCACCCTCTCCCCGGAGCCTCCTGCGCTGCGGGGGCGCAGCCCACACGCCTGCGGGGGACGCCGTAGGGGCGCAGAGACAAGCTCAGGGCTGAGAGCCAGGAACCACTTACCGCTGCAAAACGAACTCAGCAACAGCGCTGCCACCAAGGGCCACATCTCCGCGCCGCCGAGGGGTCGCCGCCGCCGCAGGTGTCTGGAACAGCCGCCGCCTCCGCGGCCGTTTCAGGCAGGACCAGCAGCCTCCACAGCAGTCACAGGCAGGACCCGCCGCCCAAGCTTCCTGGCCGCGCGCACGCTCGCTCCCGCCGCCCCACGCCCGCTCCCCGCCCGCACGAGCCGCGCACGCGCACTCGACCCCACCCCGCCACCGCGGCTGTAAACGCGGCGCCCTCCCTACTCTCTGGCTCCTGTCGGGTTCCAGCGAGCTCTGCTGAGGGCCCGCGCTCGTTCCCGGGTGGTGACGCGCGCCTAGCTTCCCGGTCACGTCTCGCCGCCCGCGTTCTTTCCCGGGTCCATGTCCTGGTCCGCCACAGAAGGTTGTGCGTTTGTTTCTGGGCTCACCGGGGACTTCACAGCACCTTCCTTCTCCGCTGCTCTCTTCCCGCCCCTAGCACAGTCCAGGGCCCCACTGTCACCACTGTCAGTTTTTGCTCCACGTTTCCTTGCCTGGCTTTCACTCCAACCGGCGCGCTTCAGGGGCCTCGTCAGGCACTGCACATCCTGACCTGGAGCCCATCCCTGCACCGGCCCTTGGCTCTTTCCTCCCGGGCTCTGGACCTGGACATTTCGTGTCTCTCACCTGCGCCCCTTTCTTTGCCACTCAACGCCACCACCGCGACCCAGGGCGCACCTAGCATAGGGGGTCTCCACATTTCCTGCGCGGTTTCTGAGCCCGAGGGCGCCACGCCGAGGCCAGGGCGGTGGCCCAATCCGCGCAGGATGGGAGCTTCAACTCACAGGGTCCTCCTGGGCCCTACTCCCTTCACTGGCCAGGTTGGTTTCAGATGCGGCTCTCATCCCTCTTTCAGACTTTGTCTTTAGTGTTTTCATTCTCTGGACARGGTTAGTCAAACAAGTTCCATTTATGATAGTGAACATTTTAAAATGTGAACACGGAGACCACAGGGATCATCTTCAATAGTGAGTAGATCAGCTTCAATAGTGAGTAGACAGATAGTAGACAGTCCTACCAGAGGTATTATGGAGACTGATTTGTGACCTCTCYACGTGCAGTACTCTGAGCTGTGTTTGAGTTTAACATGCTTGAAAAATGGGTTCAAAATGTGGCTCCAAGCCACGGTATGGACAAGGCCTTAGAAAGTGTCGCTGACTCACCCAGGCCACATCATTCTTCCTGAAGCAAAAGCCCTTTTAAAGCTACTTCTAACATTTATCCTGAATGATGAACTCTCTTGTCAAAGAGTCAGGCACTGGTGGCTGCTCTAATGGGTGCATGTCCTGTCCACTCCCTGGGTTGTTTTTCTCTTACCTGCTGGAAAAGAAAGCAATTTTCCACCACAACATCCCATTTCTCCAACTCTACTCTGGGTGTATCCTCCCAAACACCCCATTGTCACTGTAATAAAATTCAGGAAACAAAACTGCCACTGTCCCTGACTCTATAGCAATGTGTAGTATACTATATAACTTTTTTTTTTGTGTGTGTGTGTGTGTGTGTGTGTGTGTGTGTGAACCTCTTCCCCACAGCACTATTAATTCTTTAACACCAGAGACAGCATTTTAAGAATTCCCTTTTCCAAGGCTTTACAGTGAACTGGGTAAACAGAAGGGTGTTAATAAATGTGCTATGTGACTCGAGGCAAGCATTTCTCTAGTGAAATTTGATTGTTTTTTTAATGATTGAAAAAGAAAGAAAAACAATTGTCTCACAGACATCTCACTAAAACAATGGTTAATAATTATGTTGGTAATGATTTGAATGGCAGCGTTGACACCCTGAGGCTATCAAAGGAACTGATCGATTCTCCTCCAACTGCTGCTTATATGGATACAAAAGAATCAACCACCAGACTTTGAGTATTAGGGACATTGTGTATCACAGAGCAGCTGGTTGGCTAAATAAGGCTGTCAGCTGTCCCTGGAACCGAACAACCCCCCTAAAGCTGAAGAGTGACTGGAAAGGACTGCCCCCAACCTTCAGAGGTAGCGATTCAGTGATGCTCTATTTTATACTGGAAGCTATTAAGGCTATGTGTCTAAAGTCTTTTTTGTGCAGAAAATGGAATAGGCTTAAATCAGGTGAATGAGAGGCCATCTGGGTGATTGCCTCTGCTCTTGGGACATATTGGTGGTGGGGGGACAAAGGTGGCCTATTCCAGGAATGACATTTCACAGGAACCTGCCTAGGTTTGATTTCTTCTCAGAGATAATGTTAAGCTCATTTCTTCAGTACCTAACCTCTTTTGAAGTTTCCCTTTTAATTTTTCCAGGCATTTGTATTTGAACTTTGAGCTTACCTTACATAATGTAAGGGGTTTATTGGGTAGAAGAAGAGGGGATAATGCATATTAGGACATTTTGAACATAGGTAGTACACATTAATTGGATTACCTAAATTAATATCCATAATATTCTTATTATGAACTAGAATAGTATTATGATCACCAAGTTAGAGATGAAGAAACAAAGGGAGAGAGCCATCATGTGCTCTTTGCCCAGGGTTATATGTAATACTGCTCTTGCACATGTGCACTCTCTTTCTTGCTGACATCAAAGTTGTTATAGCTTTCCCTTTAAGGTTGAAAAGATGTACAGCTCCTACACAATCACTATTAACAACTTATAGATGTCAAAAGTGAGGCTTGGTCACAAGCTAAGGGAGGGGGCTATAGTTGTATTGAATCTACCTGACTCCAGGGTTACCGAAACAACCACAATCTCCTTTGTCAGTTTATGACCAATTCTCCTCCCCCCACATTCTGTCTCAATCATATAACTACCTTTATCTACCCTCTAAAAGTACATCTACTTCCTGCAACACAGTAGGTATTGGCATGATATTGTCTAAAAATTTATGATTGTGTCCTTTTTGTGCATTTTCATTCAACAATACTTCTCACCCCATGTTGGAGAGCTGTCCAGTGGCTTGTGCTTTGTGCGGGGCCTGATGAATCTTTCTGCGTAAGTAGACCTGCATCAAAAGATCATGCAGTAGACCAAAGCTCAAGATAATGCCAGTGTAAGTTAGGTGCCCCTTCTCTGTGTTTTAGTCTTGTTTGGCCCTTATCAGTTACCATGTTAAAGTGATTGGTTTATGTGGCTGTTTCCCTTTTTAATCCTTCCTGAATGAAAGGAGAGAGCCCATGAGTCTTTTTCACTGCTCGTCCTATTACCTGGCATATAGGTGCTCCAAAACAAAACAAAACAACAACAACAAAAATCAGTCATTAAAATGATGAACGAGTGAATAAATAAACCTCTCAAAGCTAGGCACAGTATTTCCCATAAGTTTTTGGCAAAGTACCCTTCTGACCATTGTGATTCAAGCTGACTTCTTTCTGTGGTCAGGTGCTGCACTAGCAAAGTGGATTATTCTGCACCTGGTCTACTCCACTTTCAGGCCTTGAGCTGCAGTCATGCCGTTCCCTTGATTTCAAATGTTCTTTTCTCCTCAACCCAAAGAATTCAAACACCGCCTTCTCCTAAAAGCCTTTTTGAATCCTGCTTTGGGGGTCTAATGACCTGTGCATGACACTTTGTTCAGGCTGCTAATAAAAGGTGTTAATAGATWTTTGTTTCTACATATCTGCCTCTTATATCACATTAGCTAAGAAAAAATGAAATTTGTCATGGATGTATTTGTATTTCTGTATTGGTTAGAATACTCTACAGAGACAGAACTAATAGAGTATATCTATAGATCTATATAGATATCAATAAATATCTATAGATAAATTTGTACAAGATTGGTTCCAGGACTCCTGTGGATACCAAAATCTGTGAATGCTCAAGTTCCTTATGCAAAATAGTGTAGTGTTTGCCTGTAATTTATATACATCTTCACTTGTACTTTAGATCATCTTTAGATTGATTATAATGCCTAATACAATGTAAATAGCAAGGTAAAAACTTGTTATACTTTTTTGTTTAGTGACAGGAAATAAGTCTGTACATGTTCAGTATAGACACAATTTCTTCTGAATATTTTCCATTCAAGGTTAGTTGAATCTGGGAATATGAAACCCTTGAATATATAAAGCCAATGATAGATAGATGGATAGGGAAAAAAAGAATGGTATAGATAGATGAGATAGGATTTATTAGGGGAATTGATCCAAGTGATCATGGAGGCTGAGAAATATCATATTAAGCCATATGCCATCAGGAGGAACCGGCAAGCTGTCAGCATGGCTGTCTGAAGGTCTGAGAAGCCAGTCATGTAACTCTCAGTTGGAGACCAAAGACCTGAGAACCTAGGGGGCCCCATGAGCCAAAGGCCAAACAATTTGGAGTTCTGATGTCTGGATGCAGGAGAAGTATGTCCCAGCTCCCAAGAGAGGGGAGGAGGAGGAGAAAGATTGATTGATTTTAGCTTTCTTCTACATTTTCCTGTATCTGGGCTCCCAGGATGATGCCCACTTAGTCCCTGGACTCACATGTCAAACTCCTCTGGAAACATCCTCATAGACACACCCAGAAATAATAACCAGCTTTCTAGGCATCTTTTAATCCAATCACATCAACAGCTAAAATTAACCTTCAGAACTTCCAAGGAGTAACACAGTGCTGATGTAGAACTAAGTGTCTAAACAATCAASAGAAATCACAGCCTGGGTTGTAGTRCAGAGTCACTCCAGCCTCAGTTTGAATTACAGCTCAAGTCACTTACTACCTGTTAATTTTGGACAAGTTGTTGAATGTTCTGAGTTCTCAATTCCTCTTTTTTAAAGCAGAAATGATAATCATAGTAGAAATTAACCCTTCACATTGCCTTAAAACTTTAATTGAGTTCACACATTTATAGGTTAGAGCAGTACCTGACATCCAGTAAACACACAATAAATCTTAGCTCTTAATATTATAATCATCTTAGAAGAGTTTTTTTGAATGGCAGTGAAMATTGTGACCAAAAGAATCCCCAGTTGCTGGTCAGTAGCATTGAAGGTGTACGTCGAGTTGGGAAGTATGAATGATTCTGGTTCGAGTAGGCACACATATATCTGTGCCTGGAAGTCGGGGAGCCCTTTACTCAATTGCTTTTCTGCRTATTTTATGGGTGAGTGAACACTAAGGAACCCCATCTGTGACATCTGGC